TCTTGACCATTTCAAGAAGTCAAAAGAATTTGCCTAAAATTATCCGTATACATTAGTTCTAAAACATCCGAAGTTTCATTGTACATAATCTCCTTATGTTTATTTGTTTCCCCTTAATGTGATTAACGTAAATACTTGAATGTGAAGAATTAAGGGAATCAAGATTTCCTTCGGACACAAGATTTTTCACTCTCTTTTAAGAGATGTTATCTAATCGCTTATGTCATAACGAAGTGAAGTTCTTATTGATTAATTTATGTTTAATACAACGTGAATTCACATCCAAGATTTATTTATAAGAGACAATCGTATTAAGCAGACATAAGTTATCATAACCAGATAAATGACCGGTACCTATAATTTACTCACACTTTAATACTTAGTTATGATACTCTACACTTGTGGAATTTTATCAAAACACCTACGTCTCTCAAATAGGGAGTAGGTTGAAATGAGAGAAGTCTAGAAGTCCATACGCTAATCATCATTTCTTTCTTTTTATGTTTTAATCAACACGACACAAACCAACCATTATTATTGATATCCGAAACTTCAAATTTCTACATAATCACAATAATTCTCACCTAACATCATTGTCCCACTTAAGCTCCTGTTTCACAATTATTATTTCAGTATTTTTTATTTTATTTTAGATACTCATTTTCAATCACACATTCACGCGATAAAATATTTTACACGTAAACATAAAAAAATTTATTATTTTTTAGCCCTACAATCTTCAAAAAATTACTATTCAAAACATAATTTTTTTTTAATTTTATTTTTTATAAATAATGGACATAAAAAAGGGGCTAAACCATAACTCAGTGCACTTTTCTGGGTTTTCTTGTGGCTCCAAAGGTGGTGTTTTCATTGGATAAACTTAACACACCAACCATGGGTGGTGATGGCCACGCCACATGCAGATTATGGGCTCAATGAGAAATCAAGAAAAACCTTGCCATTCCTTGTTTGTGCTCCATTTAAACGAGGTTTTTGGGAAAAATACATTTTAGAATAGCGATTTTTTGATGAATCTGTGATTGAAAAGAAGAAAAAAAAAAGTTTACGTGAAATATTATTTTATCGAATAATGTCGAATTGAAAAGGAAAAAAAATAAAAAATGCATTAAAATTAAATTGAGCCCAAACGGCTTCTAATAAATCCTTCTCAATCCATTGATTGCATAGTATTTTTCCCTCAATTTTTATTCAATTCAAGAGTCTTATACCATGAATTCCACTTACTAGTCTATGGGATTATTAGGAGAGTTTTCTGATGAGGGCCATATCAAGATCGAAGAAACGTTTAGGCCGTGGTTGGTTTGCCGTTTTCCATTTTCGAAAATGCGGAAAACGCGTTTGGTCCATCGTTTTTGAAAACGCATTTTCGAAAACGAGTTAAAATTTATAACTGAAAACTCAAAACGACTTTTTATCGTTTTCAGCATTTTCAATTATAAATGTCGTAAACGCTCAAAATATGGAAAACTGGCCGATTTCAGAGAAAACTAAAAATTGTTTTGAAAATGAAAATGGAAAATGAAAACGCAAACCAACCACTACCTTAATGATTCTTCCTCGGCAAGTTTTGGACTTTGGATGCAAAAATTAGACCAGCAGCTGAATTTTCTTGTTTGGCCCCCATCCTTGCCCATTTTTTTCTTACAAAATTTTGAATTTTGTGCCATTCTTGTCAAATGATGTGCCAGCTAGTCTTACACCATGGGATGGCACATGCATTCTTTACTTTGGTCAAACGGTTCGAATGGTTTTTTTTTTTTTTTCTAACTCTACCCTCCCATTCTTTACTTTGAAGAGGCACGTGCATTGCACGGGATAAAGGGAAGTTGGTCAGAGATGCGTGCCGGAATGGTAGGCCATGTAGATGACGGCTATGGAGGGGGAACACCAATTGGGGATGCGGCAGAAGACGGAGAGAGAGAGTGCAAGGATAGGTTTAACAATGGGAGAGGGCTTTTTGGGTATTGCACCTTATCTTTGGGAGGGCAGAAATGTCCAGTTACCTCAACGGCATCAGCAGATGCTTGTACTTTCTAGCACGAAATTATGCCCTTGTTTGAGCCCCATTTTAGAGGAGAAAATGAATTTTTGAATAGTGTATTTATGGGAAATGTATGGTTAAAAAATAAGAAAAAGTTTTTAATTTACGTATAATATTATTTTATTGAAAAATGTGTTGTTGAAATGGTGTCAAATCACTGTTGAAGAGTGTATGTTGGTGGGAAAATGGGGCTCAAACAAGGGCCATAAATGGGTGGCAGGTATATTATGCAAATCACTGTAGAAAAATGAGAAAGGTAGGAGGAAATGAGTTCCTAACAAGTGCAAAGCAGGGGGTGATCCTGACTGTCCATCTGCTGAATAGTCTTCGATCTTGTTGCATTGCGCCAGGGCAAGGTTGGACAAGTTTCTATATAATTTTGAGCATGTTCAGCTAAGCCTAAAAATAAGTAAAAATTGAGCAAATTTGTGTTTCCAAACATGTTCATGATCGGATAAGTTATTTTCGACTTACTTTTAATTTTAAAAAAATGGAAATTGACTTCCTTGTTTTCAATTTAATCAATAGAAAATTACCTTTTTCTAAAAACCTTATAAGAAATACTATTTAAGCTTAGCCATATATGCTTTTTGTATTTAAGAATGTTTATGCTGGTTTTATTAATCTCGTGCTGATTATTTATTGTGAAAATTGTTAAGATTTTGATTGTTGTAATGGTAGCATTTTATGTGTGTCCTAAGGCTGTTGCATTTATGATGGTTCAGGGATAGTTTCTGTAGGCATGAAGGAGGAGGATCTTGAGAGATTAAAGCTCCCTTTGATATCTCCTGAAAAGGAAGACAATTCTTCAGCTCCCTCGTTTCCCATCACAGTGGTATGATAATTCATTCTAAGATCGAGCGACCTTATTCTATATTGTTGCAGACCGAATCTCAATGATTAAATTGGTTCTGTTTCTAACAGCTTAAACTTTTACATTCGATACTTGAACTAGACTGAACGTGTTTAATTCTTGCCACCTCCCATATTTAAAGCTTATAGACGTGTTCTATATATAACAACAAAATGAATTCAGAGTTTGTTAAAGATAAAATTTAAATAAGTAAATGCAGTTCCTCCACCGAGTTTAGTGACCATTTTACAGATCATACCTAAGAAAATCTAAAATGGATTGAGTTAATTAATATCTGTAGTTTCGATTGGGTATCTAATGATATAATGCAGCTCCAGAAGCTGGTTTATGGTATCGGTTCTATTTAGGCCAATGATATATTATTGATTGTTATGATGAATAAAAGTTGCATCAATGGAAATTCTAGACAATGGCATAAGCAATGCCACCTTTGAATAAGAAAAAAAATGTTAAAAATAGATATGAATATGAATGAAAATGCTACAGAATGGATGGTTTGCTAATATCTCATATAATACCCAGATTTGCTTCATATTCTCAAGACCTATGTTTCTTTCCCTTGCTACTTTATCAACTGTGATTGTGATTTTTACAAATATTGAATTATTAGGATGCCAAAGTGGGAACATCTACTAGTGTATCGGCTTCAGATAGGGCAAAGACAGTCCTTGCTCTTTCATCTCCAAACTCTAGACCTGAAGATTTCAATAAACCAGAACATGTTTTTCCCCTCAAGTATAGAAATGGAGGTGTTCTACGAAGATCTGGTCATACGGTGGCTTCTGTGGATCTGCTTATGCTAGCTGGTCTGCAACCAGTCTCCACTCTCTCGGCTGTAGTGGATAAAGATAATGGTTCTCTTGTTCTCATGCCTAATCTTAGAAAGATGGCTTTGGATCATAGCATTCCTATCATTTCAATTACCGATCTTATCAGGTGATTTTTCTGGAAATATTTTATCTGTAATGAAATTAGCATTCTGGATTAAACCTTAATCCTTTACTCCGAGAGCTATACTTAACCAAAAAGAAACTATAAAACCAGCAAAGAATATACAAATACATAGTGGTTTGAGCTCGGGTACAGAAGGAGAACATTCATTTTAGCAGCATTCCAGTCGTCCTTGTCTACAAGATTAACTAAGTTGTTTGCAATATATTTCTCTTTCAGGGAAAAACTGGTTAAAAGGAACTGCAATTTCACACTTTCCAACTAAATGGAGTTCGTTTCAGGCTTACTGTTATCATTCAAAACTTTATGGAGTGGAGCTTATCGCGATTGTTAAGGTAAAATATTCCTTTATATATTTGGTGCTGTACAGTGATAGGTAAAGTTGTTTCAATTTATTTATTTCTTTGTCTCTCGAAATCTACAGGAAGACACTAGAAGTGGTGTCCTATTAAAAGTTTCACTCAAAATGTTTGTTGCTGTGCAAACCTAAGGAGTTCCTTGGTGATTTACAAGTTAGGTTACCAAAGTAAGCTAAAATTTAGCAGTGTTTAGCCTAACTGTAAATTAACTTTTGTAGTGAATTTTATTAGCAAGTTTGTCCGGACGTTTTTTATCTTAGGATTTTTCCTTGTAATCATATTTGGTGTTATTTACTTTTTATTGTTTTTGATCGGAATGTTTGCGATTGTTTAAACATAGGATTTAATCGAATTAATTACCTTAATCATCTAGAGACATTAATAAGTGACTTGTTGCTTGTTATTGTTTTAATTACACATTTGGGTTTAAACTATACAGCTAATTTAATCTTTCAAAGATGTTGAAGGAAATCTTGTAATGGCAGCATCTTATGTGAGTCCTAATGCTGTTGCATTTATGATTAAGCATGGTTCAGGGCATGAAGGAAGAGGATCTTGAGAGATTAAAGCTCCCTTTGAAGTCTCTGAAAAGGAAGACAATCCGTCAGCTCCCTCGTTTACCATCACAGTGGTATGATAATTCTTTCTAAGATCGAAATTTCTCATGTAATACCCAGATTTGCGTCATATTCTTGAGTCTTTCCCTTGGTACTTTATCAACTGTGATTTTTTCGAATATTGAATTATTACGATGCTAAAGTGGGAACATCTACTGGTTATCGGCTTCAGATACGGCAATAACAGTCCTGCTCATCTCCGAACTCTAGACCTGAAGATTTCAATAAACTGGGACATGTTTTTACCCTCAAGTATAGAAATGGAGGCCTTCTACGATGATCTGGTCATACGGAGGCTTCTGTGGATCTGCTTATGCTGGCTGGTCTGCAACCAGTCTCCACTCTCTCGATCATAGTGGATAAAGATGATGGTTTTGTGGCTCGCTTGCCTAATCTTACAAAAATGGCTTTGGATCATAGCACTCCTATCATTTCAATTACTGATCTTATCAGGTGATTTTTCTGAAAATACTTTATCTGTAATGAAATTAGTATTCTGGATTAAACCTTAATCCTTAACTCTGAGAGCAATACTTAACCAAAAAGAAACCATAAAATGAGCAAAGAATATACAAATTTATTGTGGCTTGAGCTCGGGTACACAAGTAGAACATTCATTTTAGCAGTATCCCAATCGTCATCGTCTGCAAGATTAACTAAGTTGTTTGCAATATATTTCACTTTCAGGTATAGGAGAAAGAGGGAAAAACTGGTTGAAAGAACTGCAATTTCACACTTTCCAACTAAATGGGGTTCGTTTCAGGCTTACTGTTACCGTTCAAAACTTTATGGAGTGGAGCCTATTGCAATCATTAAGTTGAAATGTTCCTTTATATATTTGGTGCTGTACAATATTAGGCCAAGTTATTTCAATTTATTTATTTCTTTGTCTCTCGAAATCTATAGGGAGGCACTGGAAATGTACAAGATGTACTAGTAAAGGGTTCACTCAAAATTTTTGACTGGGGACATTATTGGATGGATTAATCTACTTTTCCAGAAGGAAAATGATAGAAAGTTTCACAAATATGTATGCGACAGTAGATAATTGGATAGAAAAGCTAGCTGTGTTTTAAACTATCAAATGATAGGATGCCATGTAGTATTATGTCTAGGATTATGCCAAAGCATTTGGCATTGTAGCATAATTATTTTTGGATTGAGGCAGTGTGATTGTGGCAACCAGTTAGATTTGGCAATGCAGTTAATTGAGCAAGCTGGTAGAGGTGTAGTAGTTTATTTTCAGGGTCATGAAGGACGAGAAATTGAACTTGGTCGTAAACTTCAGGCTTGTTTTTTGCAGGACGAAGGCCATGACAATGTCGAACCAAACCTAGAGCTTGGTTTTGCAGCTGATGCTCGTGACTGTGGAATCGGGTCTGTAACAAAATTTAGAGGCGTCCCTTTATTAATTTTAGACATTTTCAAGGAAGTTTATCATAATCTTGCTAAATTGATTTCGATCCTGATTCTTCACGAATTTCATTGATGAAAGTCAGAAATCAATAAATTTCGGTTGATAATTTGTTTTTCTTTTATCAAATCTATTTTTTTTCTGTCCCAAGTTTTGGTAATCTGTATCCAGAAGAAGGATAACGATATCATGAATACATTGTCCCAGTTTTCTCTAAATTATCTATGAAGTTCTCTAATTTAAAGAAGGGATTTCAATGAAAGATCTGTTAAAATGATTTTTATAAAGCATGTTGCTTTTCATGTTTAAGATGTCTAAAACTGAATACTTTACAGTAACTATATCATATAGATCAGTTCAAGTTAAACATTCTGCTGATAAACATCAAAATCAACACTTGAAATCTCTTTTGATTGTTCCAACAGATATTGAAGGCTGTACGAATTCACACTCTGTGCCTGATGACAAACAACCTGGCCAAGTTCACTGGTCTAAAGGGCTATGGTTTGGCAGTTGTTGGATAGGTTACCGTGCTGATTTGCAGCAAAACAAATAAATAAGCCACATATATGGATCTGACCTACAAGTATTGTTACTCGAACTCATCAAACCAAGTATCAATATAATTCAAAATTTGAATCGAATGTCACTTCATTGTTAAGGTTACCAGACTAGTTTCATGCAAACTGTCTGTCTTGATGAAGACATCATCCACCTATAGTTGTTTTATTTTATATGGACTTTTGTTTATTTTAGTTGAACTATTATTTATGCTAGTAGACTTATATAAGGGGTTTGGCCCAAACTTGTTCTCTTTGAGATTTTGTTTTGTTATTTAAACCTAGTTTGCCATGTAATTGAGAGAGTTAATGAATGAATAAAATATTGTGGTTGCTTGTGGTGAAACTCCTCTCCTTCTAGTTTCTGCTATTTCTTCTGTTGAATTCTTCTTCCACCGTTCTTCCCTTAATTCCCTTTCTTTATAGATCTGTTTTCGTTTTCAATTAATTATTCCAGTTGGTCCTGCATCAAAAACTGATTGATACTATTCATGATTGCATTTTTCCTTGTGCGTATTCTTTATACTGAATATACCAATTCCAAGATATCATTTTAAAGAATCGTAAAATTTACATTATCTTTGTATTCCGTATATCAATGCCCCGTTTGGTCCCCCATTTTGTGAAAATGAAAATGAAAATGGGTGAAATAATATTTTTTTTAAAAAAAAATGAGTGGTTAAAAAAAAAGGAAAAATTTATTATTTACGTATAATATTATTTTATGAAAGATTGTGTGATTATAAATAGGAGAGTGAAAAATAAAATGTAATGCAATAGAAATTAATGGGGCCCGGGCTGAAAGAATTTTGAATCTCAATTATGCCAAATGCCATTCTTCTGTACTCTATGGGAAGTTTGGCATGATTGCAAGTTTTTTGTCCTCTGTTGCAGAGACTGTCACTCTGCCTTGTTTAAGTAAAAGATACCCCAATATGATGACAAATCGATCATATCATGTTGAACTGAGTGGAGTCTAATCATGTCGTAAACAACTGTAGATCAAACTCATCTGTGTGATTTGTGTAATTATAACGTATAATATTGAACTGGATGAGAATTTTCTGGTACCTGAGACCGAAAATTCTTATCATTCTCAAGTGATTCTTCCCGACTTAGAGATTCTGGCAAGGACATGGATGACGAATATTCTTTAATGAATCATTGAAACTGTCTACGAAAAGAAGACAGGAGAGATTTATGTAATAACTAATAATAAGATTAATCTCATTGATTAAAACAGAGAATTAGTATTCGAAGGAATTCGAATGACAATCAAGAAACAATTTCCCAAAACTAGAAATCAATGCTGCCATTTACACCACCATCTCCTGCTCCCTATTTATACAAAAAATTGGAAGGATTGACTCGAATGAATTTTCAGTACAGTTTTTGTCTCTTGACCAGAGGGACAGAACTGTTAGCAGCCGTACCTGCACTGCCCAGACATGATCCAGAAGCCATACCACCAAAATTTAACATAGGTGGTGAAAGAATTTGGGAAGATCCACAGGCCCTCATAGCATAAGGTTGTGAATTCATTCCCCTGGAAGAAACAAGTTGGTTTAAATTTGATTCCGGTTTCTGAGCAAAAACCTGGGTTTCAGGGCCTTTGATCGACACGGGTGGAATTTGAAAAGGTTGAAGTCGAGGAGGATTACGCCACCTAGGAAGCGATCCAGCCACAAGCAGTGTCTGAAGAAGCGGCCCTGATTCAACGACAGCCTGCAGGAGTTTCCCTTTCTGAGGCAGGGCTCGTCCCACGACAAGGTTGTCTATAATCATTGAGGCCCGATCAATTCCAGGAGCACATGGCTTTGCCTGATTGGTCGAAACAGGGATATTAGCCACATTGCAGTCCTGAAACAAAGGCTGATTCACAACCAAGTTAATGTTCGAGAGTTCTGGGGACGTGACAGCGTCGAAAAGGGAATCGATGGGAGACGAATTGTACGTCTCAGACAGACTGTTGGACTCAGTGACACTCGAATTCGCTTTGCCAGGTTTTAAAAGCGAGCTGTCGGCCTGAAAGTGAGGGAGCACGGCTAAATTCTCCTTGGGAGAAGTTAAAGGCAGAGACCTGTTGAGGTAATTCTGCAGATGAATTCTGGCTTCATCTCTTTCTTGGATAGCAATTTTTAGAAGTTGAATTAACTGCTTCACATATTCCTTATTCTTTACCATTTCCTCACTTGTTTCTGCTTTTAACTTCTCAAGCTCAAGAGTGGTAAACAGAAGCTTCTGATTCAATTCATCAACATTCTGCAACAAGATTAGGTCAAGATCAGTAACAGAAATTCTTGAGAGAGATCAAGAAACAGAAACCTTCGAGAAATCGAAGAACATGTACCGCAAATGTGGATCTAATGAAATTCCAGAAGAAAACATAACTCCAAGAATATTTACAGTGAAGGGAAAGGCTATAAANTAAAACATCATCAATAGGTCGAATGAGAATGTATATAATTTTAGTAGGTTGAATTGGATCGTGTATATTCATTTTAATGTCGAATATATCACTAGCTAATTCAGTAGTAACTAGGGCCTCGTGCCCAAGTCATTATAGTATACATACTGTTTATTTTGATAAGCATCTATCTAGTTATCCCTTTACGACCTTCTATCTCATTCTCTAGGATTCGATTAATCGATCTTTCCTTAAGAGATGTTTAAATTGAATCTTAGCATGGTATTATTCATATTTTATTTTTAATATTTGTGATAAATAAATAAATGGAGAAACGGGCAAGAAAAATGGAGATATTGTGATCCCACCTCAATATTATTATTATTATTATTTTTGAAGGAAGTGATTTTCATATTCATAGTGAAATTTAATGTTATTCACAGTCATTTAACTACGATAGTTGTTCGGCGTGGCAATCATTCAAAATTTATGTTGGCATGGGGCCAAAGGAATTGTTATTGGACGGCATGACGCGCCTTCTTTCTATTGGATGAAAGGAATGGTCGATCAAAGGAATGTCAACACCGTCCAATTAATTCTCTCATTTGCTTAAGGGAATTTATGTAATATTAGTTTTACATTTCCCTCTATGTAAATTCTAATTACATTTTAATCTTTATCAGTTTAAAGTCGATTATATAATTTTTAAAATTTTTTTTATAAGTTAAGAATGAAAATATAATGGTATCTATCTTATTTTAGTACGATCACATTTAGACTTTTTAAACTAACATCGTTCACGCGATTTTCCTTTTTGTATTATTATATTATGAAAAAGTAATTAATGAAGTAAAGCGTGAAAATACTTAATTCGCGAACAATCTTTAAGTTCATATTGATTCACCCACACGTAACCAGAAGTAAATAGTAAAAAATCATCAATTTAAAAAACAATTATTATCAATAATTCATTGTCCCATACGCCCAACCCTCTAGGTGGCTTATATAGTTTTATGAGAGATGCTATACTAACAGATTCATTTGCACAAATTTTGTATAGATAAGTGAGTGTGACATTATCGACTGTGGCAGAGTTCAGACATTGATTCAGTGAGGGTCTAATTAAACTACTAAAATATTTCAAGAACAAAATATTAAAAATATTAAAAATAAAAAAGTTAGACAATAAGAAACTTGTAAAAATATTTTTCAAATTTCAGTGGGATGAATGACCTCACTGACCCCACCCTCCCTCCGCAGCCAACCACTGGTTCTCGTGCTTGATATTCGTCTAAAGGATATTGTTACATTTACATCAAACTATACCTAATGAATTATATAATGTCACTTGTCATTTATCAGTTTAAAATATAGTGAATTTTTTCATCCAATTTTTTTTCTGCACATCATTTTATGTAATTCTTTATGTATCATTTTGTGTATAAGTAGTATAATCCTCGTCTAAATTCATTACACAATAAATTAGTAAGGTTCATCAACACGTAGACTGATTTTTAAAAGACCTTCCAACTAAAAATTTTGAATCCATTTCTTTCCCTCTTACTCTAAATCCACTAAAAAATTGATTTTAATTCCGTCAAACAGGACTTAATTAATACCCGAAATTTGTCTTTTTAAAATCTTCACTCTCTAAGGAAACTTGTATACTCTCTCTTACTATAAAAACGAACCCTTTTAGTCATCTTTTGCGAGTTTCCTTTCTCCTCTTCTATTCAAATAGGTATGGCAATTGGCTGGAACCGGAATAAAGGCTACGGAAAAATCCCCATTTTTTGTAACGTTTTTCCATTTAATTAATTTTTCAATTTTTTATTTTTTATTTAAATATAATTCGAAATTACAAATCTAAAAAAATACATATTTAAACATTTTGATTTTGTAACTACCGTACTTAACTCCAATAATCATTATTAATTGAACTCTAAAATGTAACAATATTCGTACAAAATTCAGATCCAAAATTCTAAAACACCTATTGTCCCCCCCCCCCCCCCCCCCAAAAAAAAAAAAAAAAAAAAAGAAAGAAATTTTCAAATCAAGAACCACCGAAAATCTTATGAATGGGACTAATTGTAAATGAAATCAAACCAAATAAAACAACAAAAAAGGAAAAAGAAAAAACGCTCAATTCCAAAATTAAAAATCCATTTTAATTCTTAAAGTCTGTCTCACCATTGCGATATATTATTTGTTTTCCTATATAAAATGGTAGATGTCATTTCCTTTAAATACTCGTGTTCTCATCCCAACAGTGAAAAATCTTATATTATCTACTCTGAAGAGAGAGATTTATTTACGATTCTCACTTTAGGAGAGAACAATAAGCATTGTTCTAAAAAGCGCCGCCAATGCACAATACGCGGCAAAAATGTCAAACCAAGTGGTTCGGTGCCTTATTTAGCGGTCAACAGCAATTATTGACCGCATTAATGCGGGCCTAGGCGCGGTTATGAACACCTGGGAATGCATAATTATCTCTCTCTCTCTATTTTTTTTTTTTTTTTTTTACAATTCTTCTAAGTTAAAACTTAAATGTTAATTTCTTCACCTTGTCGGTTCTAAATGCAAAATATTTGCTTGTAGTCTTGAACAAAAGAAATCTTCCAAAATTTCTCATTTATTCACTATTTAATATTTACATTTGGAACTTACCTTTTTGTTGAAAACTTTGGAAAAATGAATAAATTTTCTATAAATTTGTTTTAGATGTTTGCTAAGTATTATTTTTAATTATTAAACGATTTTTCGATTGATTAAAAATTAAAGTAATATTAGAAAATGCCTTTTTTATGTTTTTTATGCCTATGCCTTGCCTAGACTTGCATAACTCATAATTTGGCTTTCACGCATTGCCACGCATTACGCTTTTTAGAACACTGACCATAAGTAAAGTTCTTTTGCACATCAATAATGAGACATTCTTATTCAGCTCGCCGTGGACGGAAGAACAATTTCTTTCCTTTAAAATGAGTAATTCTTTTTCAAGTGTTTGGTGCATTTCACCTATCTCTAAAAATAAAAAATAAAAAAAAGGTGGTTCATTATGAGTATTATAATAGAATCAAGACGAGCCAAGGGGTTCAATTCTGTTGTAGTCGGGTCTGGTACTTTATCGACCCTTGAGAACATCAAAATATAATCACACAACTTTAGGTTTCAAATTCAATTAGGCCAAATCTTCCTATTAGGTTAGATCAAATTTCCTCTAATTAAGTTGTTGATTGGCTCCTATTTTTTGAAATTCTTGCTTCCTCAAATTTATTTTAATCATAAGTTTTCAAGGATCGTCAACTTTTCACAATTTTTCAACCACACATTTTATCAAAATTTACTTAAAAAAATAATTTTTAACTACATCAAATAGGAGCTAAATTTATTTTAAAATTAAAAGTACTTAACGCATGCATATATTACTATTGAAACATGATCCACATTCTTCTATCCCAATTCCCAACTCGAGACATGATTTTTCCTCAGCCGCGCCTCAAACTCTTTGAAGCGTGTTTTGTTTTTTGAAATTAAATAAAATTTAATTTGTATTATGGTTTCGTAGTCCTACGACATCCACATAGGTACTTCGTTTTTTCTGTGAATTATTCCATTAATTTTGACAGATGAAAGTTAGTTCACGTATGGATAAAATACAAATTTGTGGATTCGTGTATGATGTCGATACAAAGTTGTTGTCTTCATATATGATTTTGATACAGACAGTAAAATTTATGCCCCTATTTCATAGAAATTAAATTTTTTATTTTAATTTAAGTCAAAATCAATATTTAATTTTAACCACACATTTTAGAGATTCACAAATTTTCAATCATACACTTCATCAATATTTTGATCATGTACCATTCATGTAATAAACCCGTCAAGCGTCTTCTACGTCATTTCCGCATAGACACTCCACTAGTGATACAGATTAATCCATTAGTTTTGATGATGGAAGTTAACTCATGTATGAATAGAGTACAAATTTGTGAGTTCATATATATAATTTTAATACAAAGTTGGGATCATGAATAATTTTAGTACGTGGGATAAAATTTATTGTACCATTCGTACCTTTAACGAGGCAATTTACCACATTAAATATGCTAATTTTCCTTAACTTTCGAACTTATCCTTGATTTTATTTTATTTATTTATTTATTTACTTTTCGTTTGTTATACTTCGCAATTACACACAGTGTTGACCCTTTTTTCTTATTGTCGCAAACACGCCCTTACCCTTTTTTTTGGTCACATTCTTATCTAGTGATGGCAATGGGACGGGTTCAGCGCCCCGCCCTGCCCCGCCCCGCCCCATTTCCCCCAAACCCTGCCCTACCTTGTGCCCCACCCCGCCTTAGACGGGGTAAGGACGGGGCAACTTTTTGTCCAGTTTAATTAATTTATTTTATATTTTTAAAGTTTCGAATTATGTTATTATTAGAGAATAAATAACAAATTCAAAATTAGTTTTTAAGGGTGAATTGTTTAGAAATAAAATTATTTTTAATCTTTTTTTTTCTAATTTTTTTCCTTCATGAGGAGGGCATCCCCGCCACGAGACAGGGCGCCCCGTCCTATCCCGCCAAACCCGCTCAGGGCGGGTTTTTTTGCCCCATTCAGGGCGTGGTGGGGGGGCGGATTTTATTATCATCCCTATTCTTATCTTTTACTTTTTGTTTACTAGCACATTTGATCCATTTGTCTAAATATTTTGTTAGCACGAGACAAATATATTGTTACTTTTGTATTAGCCTTTTATTTTTTCTTTTTTTTTTAAAGGCTTTTATTTGATTTTGGTTTCAAATTTTTCAATGAATTTATATATACAAAGGTCAAAAAAATTTGAAAAATAATTGGATAAGATTTAAACTACAATGCTATCTATATCACGTAATTATGATTTTGAGACAAATAGTTTTGTTGTAAATTTCGAAAGTAGGGTAATTAGCATAAAACGTTTACACCTTTCAAATTTATTGTGAAAACCATCCATACCTTTTATTTTTTAGCATTTTCACCCATATCTTCCACCTTTCTTTGCGCCGAATATCATTTTCACCAATTTTTAATGTAAAATG